AGTTCATTTTTCCTTTAGATTCGTTGTCTGTCAATAGATTCAGTGAGTTTGAATCAATGTATTAAATAAAAATACAATTTTATTTTCAGTTTTTGGATTCATGCGATATCGGTAGATCCGGTAAGTTTCAATCAATTTATTAAATTAAAATAAATATTTTATTTTATTTTATTTTTAGCTTCGTTTTATATTTCAATACATCATGTAAGTTTATTTCAATTACTAAATGAAATTGAAGCTTCGCTCTTACGTCTAGATTCGTTTTATATCTCAATAATATCTGGTGAGTTTACTCCAATTACTAAATGAACATGAAATTTTATTTTTATTTTTAGATTCATTTAATATCGATCGATCGGGTAAGTTTGAATCAATTTTCTAAATTAAAGCTTCATTTTTATTTTTAGACTCGTGTGATATCGATAGATCTGGTGAGTTGGAAAAGATTCTTTAAATTAAAAAACAGTTGAGTTTTTATTTGTAGATTCATTTTATATCGTAGTATATCTGGAGCGTCTGTTCAAATTATTGTACGAAAATGAAATTTTATTTTCATTCTTAGACTTGTTGTCTCTCAAAAGGCCGGGTGAATTTGAATCAATTTAGTAAATTAAAATATAATTTTCATTTTATTTTTAGATGATTATCGTAGGGAAACGTTTGATGAGCTATGAAATTCGCTCATTAACTACTTTGGTTGAATTGTGTTTTACGTGTGAATGGGTGTTTATTAGTTTGGATGGGTTTGGATGTGAAGAAAACCGGTGAGTTTAGATGATTTTTCGACGAAAAATTGATTTGTTTCTTCATTTTTAGGTGAAGAAGGTCGTAATGTTCGGCTTCGTGATGGTTTGGTAATGGTGCGACGAAATGCGTCTGGATAACTAAAGTTTTTCTCTCGATACTATGTGCTGTCCACCTTTAATGACTATTCTAGTTATTTCTGGGTACAGATAGGTTCACAGCAGAAGCTCATCGAACATCTGTGGCGGCTGTGAATGCTTGTTGCTGGTGGCAGAGAAATGATGGATTCCTGTTTAGTCTAGTTTGGTAGAGCTTTAACCATATTCGGAAACCTTTTCTTTGGGTTTCCGAAGAGGTATTTGAGGTTTAGCTATAATTGATACTATGGATTTCCGAGACCTCGGAAACCCTTCTTCGGAAACCCTTAAAGGATTTCCTATAGTAACAAACTCGGAAACCCTCTAAGGGTTTTCGAGAATACCTATTTTTTTTAGAGTGTAGAATCAGTTCAACAGCATATTTATATTCAACTAATTGATTCAATTGATTTCCTGTTTTAAAATGCTGTTCAAAACAATTTAAGCCTCGAAATTTTGCCGAAAATTGTGTGAAAAAAAAGAAAAAATATTTATAGTAAGTGTCTGGATGTCCAGATGTATTTGACCTCCCCCATCCCATCCTATCCCTTCCTTCCCTGTCCAGAATTATCCAGTTTTGACGGACTCCCATCCCTTCCCTCTTTTGGACATCCTTTTATGGAACACTCCTCACAACATCAAAATAATACAAACATATTTTGGGAAGTATTTGGTTTTTTAATCATGTTTTTGATGTTCACGATATATCATATGAATTTATCATTGTCAACAAATAAAGTTAACGAAAATAGTGAGTATAAAACAAAGTCATTTTCTCACATAATATTATAACTTGAATTATTTTTAGACATCGATGTTACATTAATGCATGTCAACAGAAAAGGTACAATGTATAATAATAATAATAATAATAATAACAATTTTAAAGGCAATATGATACAAGTTGAAAAAAATGTGTTTCGTCAAAATGAATTAACAACAATGAAATTAAAATGATGATAATGAAGAACAATACAATGATAATGGTTAAAAAGAACAATATAAAGAAAAAAAAGAAGCATTTCTGAATGATGTATATGGGCACTGTTCATTTTTAAGTCGTGCTCGCAATTTTTTTTTGTTGTTGTTGTCTTTTTCTGTGTACTGATTTATGTGTTTATCTGCATTAATTTGATTATCTTTCATTTTTTTGCTATATGAAAAAATAAAAAAATAATTATATTAGATGAACAACATCTAAGAGGTCGTTCACATATTATGTCACCACTTTTTCTTGGCTTTTGGACACTCTTCGCCCACCCTCCTCCCCACTGCCTCCGATACCATCATCAGAGTAATTCTTAAATATTTTATAAAGTATCTGTTACAAATATTTCGTCGGTGTCTGTACGAGTCTTCAGTTCATCCACATTCAAAAATTGCTTCTTTTCCTTTTCCTTTTTTTTTTTATTGGATTCCATACTTTTTAGACATTCTGCAATTCAATTTTCATTGAGAAAAAGAAATACAAAACAATGGCAAAATCATCAATTATTGCTAAACTCCTCTCCGTATTAGTAGACTCCAAGTCTCTCATTATGTCCAAGCGTACAAACTTTCCAGAAAGATCTTCTAATGCGACTTTTAGGTGAAATTTTTGGAAACGTTTTGTTTTACCTTTCGGATTCTAGTTTTCGCAGCAAAGTAGCGTAGGAAACGCTTAATTATGAGAGAAAATAGTTATCAATAATGATGCGCATGTGTTATGGACACCTTTGCAGTCGTTTTTCCTAGTGACAGGAAAGTGGTAATTCTCTTGTCAGATTTGTATCATGGTGTGAAGTGTTGACTCCTCATGGATATATCAATGCCAATAGAAGCACTCAAAAATCAATTTAAGTATATAAAAACTGATCTCTGTTCTCCCATATTTGTATTCGTAATGGATGCCAGTTGCTTCTAAAAACCGAGAAAAAACAAAATATTTCTAGGGTATTTTTTGATTTTTTGAGCTGGGGTCAAAAATGACCCCGGCTGGTAGTACTAGGGTTAAGAAAAACTAGTTTTTAAATGTGCTGCAGAAAAATAAAATAGATGACAGTCAATAAACATAGCTTCTCGATATTTGTCTAGTAAATGAGATGATATCCAATAATATGTTAAAATATATAATCATACAAGACAATGGACAATTAATTATAGTATTTTGAGAATAAAACCAGAGATCTAATTTAATGTTTATTTACGCTCTAAACTATTATACACAATAAATGAGCATATTGTTATATTGAAAGAGTTCAATTGACAGCTAGAAGAAAGTCATTGAGAAAACGATGAAGCAACATCTGAAATTGTTTCGACCAGCATCTTGAGAGTGAGTTTTCGTGTTGAATGTCAAATCTAACTCAATTTTACAAAGAAGTTTTATACTACGTCGATTGATGTCAACTAGTTTTTTTGTAATTAATCCCTGTCGTTCGAAAACTAGAAGCTTATCAATTCCTTTCCACATTTAAAAAAATATTTTCGCTTTTCAAATAAACGAGCCTGTTCATTGCTCATTTGAAATCCAATCAAAAATAAATTCTATGGTATAATATGAATGACAAAAATTACGAAATTATCAATAAATATGAATTCGTTTTCTCGAATACACCTTGCCAACGATTGAGCTCATCTTTTTTTAGAAGATTCAGTTTCAGAGGTGAAAGACGAAATTGACCTTCACTGGATGCCAAAAAGAAAACAATTATGTCAGATTACATAAACAGTGACAGATATCCTTCAGCCGATCATTTCTTCAATAGCTTTGACATTTTTTATACGTTCCAACGGTTTCTCATACATGCGGGACGTTTCTCTTAATAAATAAGTTGCAGAGTAGCTCCTAGGACACTAGACAATAAAAACACTCAACATTACTCACTCTCTTTAGTCAATCAAGCTGGGTTTTTTCCTTTGTGGCAAAGGACCCTTCAAAGTTTTTATTCACAAGAAAACCGTCAATAGACACCGTTTTGAATTAGCATTATTGACCTCAATAAAAAAAATACTACTGATAGAAAGTATTCTCCTGTCGTCTCAACCGTTCTTAAGGCTACAGATCTGAAATTCCTAGCATATGTACTACCTTAGAAATGTGAGCTAACGAGACCAGTATTGGTCTCAATCGCTCAAGTTGAAGAGGACTTATGATTATTGATAGCTTTTCTCAATATGAGTTCTATAAGCCACGAATGGAAGGAGCTTACATTCTGATTAACCTATCATTATGTGAAAAATCCGCAGTTTTTGAAAGCTTAGATAAAACTCCATGAAATTTATACTGCAAATAGAAACATTAAAGGACTATATGATGATAGATTCGCCAAGTCCTTAGGGTTCTTCCTTTCTTGAGTTATAGGACTCATAATGAAAAAGACTGCCACAAATCATCACTTCTTGTCAGCTCAAGTGAGTAAGACTGAATCGTTTTCATTGACCTACATTTCGAAGGTAGTAATTACGCTAAAAACTTCACATGTCTAGCCTTAAGAGTGACTGAGATTGCAGAATGCGATACTTTTGACCAATAATGTATTTCTTTAATGAGCTGAATAATGCTAGTTTTATAGAGTATCTACTTGATAGTTTTCTTATGAATGAAAATTCCGAGAAGTCCTCTATCACTGAGAAAAATCAGGCCCATTGATTGAAACAGACTACAAATATGAGTTCTTTAAGCGTATATTTATTTATCCTTGCTCTTAGTCAACAAAAGAGTCTTGATTGTATTGTCACACAAAATCATAACTATTTTTAAAGTTCTGCTGATTTGTTTTTCATTCTTGACAATTATTGTGAATCATTATTTCGAATCTTACTTTGACTGAAGTGACTGAGAAGAGTACTTGTATAATATACATGAAAAGAAAATATTTCCGAAGCATTAATCTTCCATAGCTCTAGAGAATTTTAGAAATGCTCATCATCAGTATCTTTCTGCTCTCACTTCACTTATTGGAAGAAGCGCAACATGCATAAATGCAAAGAGGCAGAGTGGATCATATCATGAAATCTACCATCTGGTTTTCAGAATATGCTCATCTGATAAACACCGAACACTTTTCTGTTCACTAGAAGATAATCATTATTTTCCCTTCGTCACCATATTATTTCAATAATGTTTTAACAAGTCTATTAAAAATATACAGCTAAATGTTTATTGTTCAACTTAAGTGCATTCAGATGTTGTGCTCCTGTGTCTCCGATTTTATTATCTCTGAGATTGAGATATGTCAATGTCTGTATTTAACAAGAACCAACAACATTAGAAACAAGAAAAGACAATCTTACTCACCTTGTTGTTTCGCAATGCTTCAGCTAAATATTTCGCTCCATTTCCTCCGATTTCATTATAGTCGAGATTCAATTGTGCCAGTGTCTTTAGTTATTAACAAATACTTTACAAAAATAAGTGCAAAAACATTTTTGTCAACCTGATTATTCCTCAATGCATCAGCCAAATGTTTTACTCCTTCATCTCCAATATGATTGCGAGATACTTCAATTTTTTCCAATGTCTATATGAAAAAACAGTAACAATTAGAAAAAGAAGGAAAAATGAATGCTTTAACTTTGTTGTGCTGTAATACATCCGCCATATATTGTGCTCCCTTATCTCTAATATGATTTTCCCCCAGAGATAGTGTGAGAAGTGTCTGTAACAAAACAGAAATATCAATATCAGATTGAAAAAACTAGCTATTTTGTCTTACGGCATTGTCTCGTAAAACATTGGCAAGATGTTGTATCCCTTGGTCTCCAATTTGATTTGAGTAAAGACTGAGGCTAGTCAGCGTCTGAAAGTATTATAAAATACAACCATATAAGAAACAAGAAAATACAGTTTACTGACTGTGTTATTTCGTAATGCATTAGAGACAAGTCGTATGCCGGCATCGCCTATTTCATTTCCTTGGAGGTTAAGTTCTTTGAGTGCCTGTGTAAAATAGAAGTATTGTTGTCAGAGTGATTATAGGGATGAGTCTCTTGTACCTGATTCTGTTGTGATACTTCAATGAGATATTGAGCACCTTTTCCACCTATTTTATTACTTGAGACTTTAAGGTTTTTCAGTGTCTGTATTGAACGAGAAGTAATAAAATTACAAGCAAGAAAAGGTGATCTTACTCGCTTTGTTATTTCACGATGCATTAGCTGAATATATTTTGATTCATTTTCTCCAATATTCTTATTTCCGACAGAAATGTTCTTAAGCGGACTTCCTCTTGCCTGACTCAAAATTTTCAGATTTTCCATTTTGGTGTGTTTCTGTTCTACATACGCTTTGAAGCATCTTCTATATATTGTACTTACTTCAAGGCTTGATATACAGCAATACACATCAACAAATGTGGGGAGATGGAAAATTTTTACGGTATTCTGCTATACCTCAAACGTGAATTTTTGATGTAAAAATGGAGAATAATGCTATTTTATAAAGTATAGTGGGTTCGATCAAGTTGATATTGTGTTCAGCTAATACTAAAAATAGCCTATGGTGATTCCTTCTCATTCTTGTAAAATATGAAAATCTCTAGGCAAAAAATGATGCACTTGTTGGCATGCTGTCAGGATCTTGGTATTATTATTCTAATACAAGGAGATACAAAGGAACTAAAGAACGTTCGCAGCCTACACAGTGTCTAGTGTTTGTAGAAAATTTTTCAGCTGTATGAGATATATTACGCCTGATAAAGGAAGATGATAAGGGATCATTTTTATTTGAGTTGTTTAATTGGACCTTCAATGTAGATGAAGTTTCATCTCAATGGTATCACTTCAAATGTAAAGAGGATAAATTGAACGCTCACTTTCTTGAAGAAAAATCGAAAAGTTAGGAAAAGAATTTTTCACAATTATAAATAGTAATTCATAAAAAGACTTTCCTATAACTCTGGCGGAGAGGCAGCAAATAAATTTTCATCCGAATAAGAACTAATGTTTTCTTTCCAGGATTTTCGATCATCCATATTAGGATATCAAAACCAGACTCATTAGAATGCAAGGTATTACAAAGTCAACATCGGCAGAGCAAAACCGAGGACGAAAACATTTTCCAGAACACAGGTTTCAGAGTGGGAATGAAGATAGAAGGCATAAAACAAGGATTATCGCTATAGTGAAGAGCAGGCGGAAGGGATGACGTGTGATGCATCGTCAGGTTAGCAGTAAAGTCAGGATATATTTCAGAATGATTTTCATCAAACATAGACTCACAGCACACTCATTGTGACTTATTTTGTCTATTGCTTTCATTACAGCCATTACAAAGATTAACTGCTTAATTCTCATTATGAACTTCAAATTTATTATGGGAAAAAACTGAATGGGTAGTGCACGACAAGGTTTGAAATGAACTGAATATCTGCAACCTTGTTCAGAGTGTAAAGTCAAAATCTTTGGGGATGAATTCGATAATGGGAGCAAAGATGTTCTAGTTCGAGGTCACGAAGAAACCGTTTCAAGTGATAAATCATTTCTGAGTGTGCGCTTTATACATTTGGTGGACTTCAATGAAGTATGGAAAGCTCAAAAATGGTAAGTACCCTTCGACATTCATTTCAAAGTTACAGCCATTTTACTGAAATCTAAGGCTATGCAATATATGCACCAACAAATCGAATGATGGCATTTTGACTTGAAATATTTTCAACAAAGAGGTTTACTTGTGACTAGGCTGTCATGAAAATCTCAGTTCAAAAGAATGTTCGCTTCGCTAGATATTGAATTTTCAAAGTCCACTCGTATTCCACGAAATGTGCCAAATCTCAGAATCTGTGGATATTCAATATCTCGAGAAGAAAGCATTCCTTTGAGCTGACATTTTCAGAGCATCCTAGCCACAAGGAATCTGTCTGTAGACAAGATTTCAGATCGAAATATCATCATTCGATTTGCTGCTACATATCGCGCCATAGCCTAGAATTCCAGTCAAATGGCTATAACTCGAGAAGGTCTAATGGCATTTATCTATTTGAGACTTTTCATATTTCGTTGAAGTATAATTTATGCGTAGAGTACGAACTCAAAAACAATTAATCATTTGAAATGATTTCTTCGTCGGTAAACATGTTTTGAGACGACATTTCATTACTTTGACACTTCGATAATACCTGGATAGCTCAATCCATTTCTTCTATAGCACACTGTCACCAAGTTTTGTGTATGATAATGTGATACTCATATAGATTATTTTATCTCATTCACGTTTACTTTTTCCACAATAATATTCTTCTTCAATTATGATTAAGATTGAGATACATATTTATTTTTTGCCTTTCTGCCAGTTATCGAAAAGTTCTTTGCTCAATGATAATTTCTAATTATGATAAATTGTTGCTCTTCGTTTCTGCCGCCTTATAAAAAAAGCCTGACTTTGATTACAGTGTATAGTTGGCTTAAAATTTTATCTTTTGTTTGTGCCTATTGGATTTCTTGAATGGTTTCGAAAATTTCATTCATATTCCGATTGGAGTTAGGCAGTCATTTCATTTTCAGTTCTTGTAACTTCAGTATCTTCTACATGAAAGCATTGGAGAACTTCAATCCTTCATTTCCCACGTCTAATCTAGCATATATTCTACGATATATAGCATTTATTTGAACAATAAACAAAGTCTTTTCATGGCAAATGTTATGTTTGAATTGTTGGTTTGGAATGTATAATAAATAAGCTTTAATTTGATATAGAATTAATCAATATAAGTTGTATAGCTCAAGAAAATGAAATCTTTTAAAAGCTATGCATAGATACCACTACGAATAAGAGAATTTAATCCATGGAAGCTTTTGCTATAGTTATCAACAGTTATTTGTCATAAAATTTTCAAATTTTCCCCAAGAGCCGTTCTCTAGTAACACGAGAAAATGGAATCCCCTTAAATGTTTTCATGGAACAAGAACCGAGAAAAATGACAAGCAAGAAAAGACAATTTTACTCACCTTGTTATCTCGCAATGCCTCAGCTAAATATTTCGCTCTGTTTTCTCCGATTTCATTAAGTGTGAGATCCAATTTTGTCAGTGTCTTTACAAATCAACAAGTACTTCACTAAAATAAGTGCAAAAAACAGTTTTCTTCACCTGATTATTTCTCAATGCATCAGCCAAATGTTTTACTCCTTCGTCTCCAATATTATTCTCATCTAAGCTGATATCTTTCAGTGTCTATACAAAAAAACAATATTATCTTTAAAAAAAGAAGGAAATGAATGCTTTAACTTTGTTGTGCCGTAATACATCAGCCATATATTGTGCTCCCTTATATCCAATATGATTTTGCCCCAGATTTAGTGTGAGAAGTGTCTATTAAAAAAAGAAATATGAATTTGAGACAGAGAAAAGAGCTATTTTGTCTTACGACATTGTCTCGTAAAGCATTAGCAAGATGTTGTGCTCCTTGTTCTCCGATTTGATTGATCAAAAGATTGATGGTTTTGAATGTCTATACGACACGAGGTTTATTCAAAAGCTTGTGTCTTCCTCATAAACAGCTGACTTTCTTGCTTACGGTGGATGATAGATACGAAAGATTCAACATTTTCTGTGTATTATTATGGGTTTAATAACTTCTCGTTTCGTGTAAGAATAGAAGCCTAACGAGCTTTTAATCGATATTAACAATCAAGAGCTTACAGATGGATTTCCATTATGATTAAGTTGTCGTGTGTTATGTCAAGGATTTTACGAGCTCACAGCCAAAGAAGTGCTCTCAGAAATTGAGAAATCAAAGTTTTCATATTATCTAATAGGTTACAGAACTGCTTTATTTGTGTGTGAGAAAAGTATATAGATTGACTGTAACTTTTTCCCGGTTGCGTACTATCTAATGAACAAAGTAATAAGTTCTGTAATCCATTTTTCACATCTGTGTCCTTATTTGTCCTCAATACTTTATGAACTTCGACACGAACACAAGAGATCGTAGTTAATATACTATATTATTTTGAGAAATTTTCAAGGTTTCCAGAGATTAAGCAGGAATTTCAGTTAGATATGTATGAATGCGATTTTGTCGAATGACTTCATTGTAGCAATTTATGCACAGTTCAGAAACGAAACAAGATATATTCTATCTTGACATACAGTGGTTTGCAAAAAGAGTTGGAACAAATGTTCACCCTGTATTAACGACTATTTCAACTAGTTCCAAATGAATGGTACTTTAGTTAATAGATATGAGTTTGCAGTTTTTCAATATCAGACTCAAAATTTCATTAAATCTTTTATCAATTCAATAATCGACAAACATCTGTTTTTTATACCATTAGTAAAATTGATTATAACATTTTTCAATATTCATCTTAGAAACTCTACGAAATGCTTTAGATTGTACAACTTTGAACAGGTAATTTACGGTTTTTACATCGGTTTTTTACAAATTCTATCACTGTCACCTCACTTTTTCATCTAATGAAGCGACCTGATTTTCAGCTGATTTTAGTTTCAGTGCTACTTTTCTAGCGATTTTCTTTTCGGAATTCCAACGAACATAGAGTTTCGACTTTTTTAAATTGGTAAATAATGGTTGATGATAGTATCTTTGTATATCGACTGACTTCACCGATAAAACTGATTCCTTTGTTGTGATAATGTAATCGAAAAATATGCTACAATTTTGGACTGTCTACCTTTCCTATATCAGATTATTATTATAGAACGATCAAACAGCGATTAATCAAATGTATGAATATTTTTAATAGATAACTTGCTTAGTACAAATCCACAATCATTTCAAAATAAATCCTCAAAAGGATCTGAAAAACATAGAATATTTGTGTTCCTAGAATGTTCCAATTCTTTTTGCAAACCACTGTAAATATAAAGTCTTTGACTAAATACAATGAGTTTCCCATTCCTCTAATATGGACAGATCAGATGTTATGAATATTATAATTATTAATATTGAGCTATCTCACACTGACTTTTTTCTAAGTCCAATAAATTCTCAAGTAATATATGACGCAAAAATAATGGGACAAATGTCGAACCCTATTTCTCTTCAATAGAAATGTGCTGAAAGCCAAACTTTATGTACCAGAAGATAGAAAATTTTTTCTCTTTCAGATCGTATATAACATATTTTTACCATATGTTCACAAATGAAATATCGCAACAGAAAAAAAGAAGCATCCTCAAAATGGATTCCTAGTTTTCACATAATGTAGAATAACGATACAAAACATCAAGTCCTATATTTCATTAATATACACGTGTTGGAACAATAATTATGTTTATCATGTGATAGAACATTTTGTCCTCTTTCGAATTGTGTATAGCTTAATTTTGTTATATATTCATAAACCAAATGATAAGAGAAGAAAGAGAAACACCTGCACAACGAATTTGTAATTTTTATATTGATTTATCCGATAAATCGTGTAAAACAACTGAAATCATTATGCTAAAAATCATTATTCTTGGAACGCTTTCTTTGTAAAATAACTAACTGTCATTTTAAACAATTTATTTGATGAATCAATATAAAAATTACAAATTCGTTGTGCAAGTGTTTCTCTTTCTTCTCTTATCATTTGGTTTATAAATATATAACAAAATTAAGCTATACACAATTCGAAAGAGGACAAAATTTTCTATCACATGATGAACATAATTATTGCGCCAACACGTGTGTACTAATGAAATATAGGACTTGATATTTTGTATCGTTATTCTACGTTCTATGAAAATAACAAACCCATTATAAGGGTGCTTTTTTGTCCTGTTGCAACGTTTCACTTATGAACATGTGAAAAAAACGAGTTATATGCAATGCAAAAGAGCAAAATACTCTCTATCTTTCGGCACATAAAGCTTCCTTTCAGCACTTTTCTATTAAAGAGAAACAGGATTCAACATTTGTCCCATTATATTTGCATCGTATACTATGTTGAATTGACCATTGTTCAGGTTTATGATATATCTCATTTTCCAACCAAGATTTTACCATTATTTCTGTCGAGTTAAAAAGGATTAACATCGTTTCGTTTCTCAGTTACGCATAATCTCATAACAGGAACAAACATAACAGACAGATAATATTTTATGCCTAACTTCTGTACTTCAATTCTAGAATATTGTTTTAGATGGTACGTGTGCATACACATTTTTTCTAGCTTATGAAAAAAGTTCGTTAGTCCGTTGATAGAAAGTATATACAATAAAAAAGAAATTAGACACATAAGCAAAGCTATAGTTAAACATCGAGAAACGATGAGCTAATCTATCCAATAGTTTACGGTGTTTATTTAGTGCTAATGTGTGACAGAGTGGGCTTTTATCATGCCGAAAAATTGTAATTTTGGAACTAGACTCTCCTTATAAGGTATGATTTTATTCAGTAGCAGGATTACTGGAAATTCTTTCATCTCGAGATATGCTACTAGAGAAGTTACGGTTTTTCGTGTCTTAAAAACGAATGAAAAAACACCGAAATATGTAAAAACCAAAATAGTCATATTGTAAAGGATTAAATCGAAAGATTAATTAGAAGTCTTTATTTAGTCTATCAGACTGTCTTGAACTCTGATGAGGTTTCTAGAAATCGGTAAATGGTACTGTGATGTCATCACCATTTTTTAAATGCTATTTATCCATCATGTCCAACAAAAAGTGCTTACATGCCATATATAAAATATACACTGAAAAGACAGACAGTGAATGCCAGGAGCAAAGTAGAAAGATCAAGAACAACTAGTAGAGCGGCAATTATACTATCAATCTAATATATAAATGAAAATAAACGAAGGAGCTCGGACAGTCAAGAGCATTTACAGACTATTATCTTTTATTATTGTATTTAGATTTGAAATTAGCTATTTTACGCATTGTTTATAAATACAAATATTGTTTTCTTGCTTTCAGGTCCTGACGAAAAATAACTTCTTCATAAATATCAGCCAATATATTTCTACTTTAGTAGCAGAGCTAAGAATAGAATAATTTACAGACTAAAAGCTAAAGTTTGAAGACATTTGCATCAGCAGTAAAAAAGAAAATAAGAACTTGTTTAGAGAATCCAAAACTTCTGAATCACTTTTATCGAATGTCAAGTCATCCTATAAAAACTAACTTTCGTTGTGCTTTTATTAGTAATGTTCACTGTCGACATCTTCCAATTTGCTTTCACTACTATAGATCCAATTGTTTCACGAGACTAAACACTGTTCTATCATTTATTTTGGATAATTTCAGATATACAAATATGTTCACTGAACAAGATGTATCTAACCAGTATGATTTTTATAATAAAAATTGCGATTCAAATTCTCTTATAGAGAACAAGAGCGAGTATTTGGACCTAGGAGCGCAAGAAGTTTTAACATAAAATTAGTAAAACATTTAAGAATATTTTATCGGTGCGATGAACAAAGAAACATAAGCAAGCGTTTCTTCAGCCGCTCAAAATACGAGTGATATATGAATAAATTTGAACCCAGGAAACTCTAGGATTTTCTAGATTCTATATTTTCCCAATAATTAAAAATTGATGTACTCATCAAGTTGTGAGAATATAAGAACAGCTAAGCATGCTATTCTATTCGTTCTCTTAATAGTATTAAAAATATTGTTTTACCTGGTTGTTGCGCAGAGCATAATAGGCCACAATTTCCATATCTTCATCAGTCAACTTCTTCGATAACAATCTCAACTCTGAGCTATCTTTATTATCAGCAATGATTCGTTCAAGTTCATGATTATGATACTGAGGTGGTGATGAAGTCGGAGCTGATACTTTTACCAATGATGGTGTCATATTTTTCACTGGAGGTGTCGGTTTTGATGCGGCAACTGTTGACTGTGGTGATGTATGTGTTTTTTTTGATGCTGATAAAGTCGGCACTAGAGTACAGAAACAAATGGTTAATATGGATTCATTAATGAAAATGAACCTTGACTCATCTTCGACTCTAAAAATATATCATAATATAAATATTCAATTAAGAATGGAACAGAAATTCTGTCTCGATTTCAATATTAAATGCTCTTCAGCAAAGAAAGAAGTTGTTGTAGTATTTTTATAGAAAAAAAACGCAGTGAAATGTACTCTTGACAATGACATTGTCGTATTCCAGCTACAGTCATCGAATAAAGAAACTAATATAACAAGCTTGAAGGTATTTTTCAGATAAAAGTGCAACTCACTATTAATCTTCGAAGATAAGAAAAAATGTCTCCTTATAATGAATTGTTTTGCCTTTGCGAAATACTGGAGTTTTAAGTCGATGATTTTTTCTAGAGTACAACTGAAATTGGATCGAGTTGCAATGTGCTAATGTTCACATAACACAAAAATAGTACATTTACAAAGAATTATTTTAACGTTCAAAGGTAACTGATTTGTTGTAGTTGTATGCAAGAAACCATTCTCATTAAATATCTAACGGTATCAATAAAACAGTTGTTTTTACTTAGAAAACATCTATTATACAAACTGAGATAAGGTCTCTTGCTCACACTTTAAGTGATAGTCATATGCATTACACTAGAGAATAATACTTCAAACATTTATGACCTTTGTCTAATGATTTCAATGAAACTAATCTGACACTGGAGTTCTTCTACAGCAGGTGCTACGTAGGTTTTTTTATGTGATCTTACTAGTAGAAGGTTGATTGTTCGGGAGAGTAACGATCGACACTGGTTGCAAGAGTGGATGAGGTGGTTGAGTTTCTTTGAGTTGAATTATGTGAAGATCACCTTGATCAAGACAACCGATAACTTTGAATTGAGTTGCAGCAAGCAAAAGAATTTCATCTTCTGATGGAAAAAAAGAATGATTTCGAATATCTTTTCCAGATTCGCATTCAATGTGAAACATTGTTCTCGTTCCTCTCTTGCCCAAAAATTGTTCTGATTGTAAAACATTTAATGAAGTAGTGCATGATGAAAATCCCCACCATACAACTGTTTTTCCCATGATATATGATTTGCTCAAATTTAATTTAACACCTCGATAAATAGTTCGAGTAATTGATGGAAGACGAAAAAGTCCATTCAGAAATAGCCTCAAATAGAGTAACCAAGGGTTCAATTTTCGTCGATCTGGTGATCGTAGAGTACTATTCAACACAAAGTAAAGACATTCATCAAGTGGTTCCCATCCCATAGAATAAAGCATGATAGCAGCTGATTCATCTTGTGTAAGTCCATCAGCAGGTTCTTCACATCTTTGCTTAGCTACATAAGCAAAACTTTGAATATTTGGTAGAAAATTAACAAGTTCTTCAATAGCTATTTCAAGTGGAACAAGTGGTAATTTTTCATAACCACAAATTGGTAAAAGATACTGATGTGGTTCTTGAGCAACGTCTGTTACACGGCGAATACGCTGTGCTAGATTATCGTCTCCTGCAGTCGCCATATAGAGTAGTAAATGATTGTGTTAAATATAAGAATATGAAATTCTGAAAAAACAAATCAAGAGCCAAGTATTATTGTGTTTATTTCATTTCGATAAATCAATAGTTATCAAATTTTCTATCTTAAGACTTGTAAAACTTGAAATATTCTCATTAAAGTATATATATTCATGAACTATATGATTATTTTAGGTGATTGAAATACAAACATTCGAGAGTAAGGACTTACTGTTGGCAGCAGTTCTCTGCAGCCCGTATTGTGTGTAGAGAAAATTTATATTCGTCGTCAAACTAAAATAATGACTGAATAAGTGAATGTTATTCATCGAAAAAGCTTCTCTATTCAAATGAAAATTTTCTTCGACGATATTTCTTTCTCAATTGTCGATGCATGTTTTTTTGTTGACACTCAAAGAGGCTCTCTGGCCTTAATAGATAAGGAAAACAAAGTTTTGCATCCACTATTGTCAGCGTTCTCTTGTTTGTCTCGATACGCAGTTAGTGTCAAAGCGTGATTGCACTCAGGCAACAAATGTCTTGTGAAAAAAATCTACCATTTTATCTTCTAACGAAATGGTTTAGCAGTTTTTTACTCTTCTCTCCTATTTCGTTCTGCATGAACATAATCACATTGTTTCTCGATCATGCAGTCTATTATAATGAAACAGTGGAAGAACAAAGATTCGATTGCTAGAGTAAAACATTCGAACAATAATGTTTTCATGAAGAAACAAAATTGTAAACGAGGTGTTTCGATCTAAAAAGCGGAATCGGTACAATTGAGTTTCAATCAATGATCTGCTAAGTAAGAATGGTGTGTGGCTATTGTCTTTTCTTTACCCACGCCCATATTGTGTGTAAACGAATGACTGAGTATTCCTTAGAGGCAGATGTAGAGAAATTTGTTTGTCTCACTAGATATAGATTGTTTCTTTCTTTTGTTGATATATTTTTCTATCGATTTTTATGGGAGTGTTTTTTTTGTTGCTGATGGACTTTTCATCATTCATTTTAGGAGTGCTCGCGAAGCGAGTCTACATTAAAGAACAACAACAAAACGAATGCACCGTTATTATTGCCAACCTTTTCTTCTCACACAGTAGCGAGTATGGGTAGCTAGAAGCCCGTGTTTGAAATCAATAAGGCTTGAAAAACAAAGACATTCATTCTGGCGACATCCTTTTTAAACGAACGAACAACGATTTATTTCAAAAGTGCTACTTTCTCTGATCATTGATTGACTCTCTGTTTTGCTTATGAATTTCATGCTATTGAAATTAATCCGATGAGAAAAAACCGATAGGAGAATGTTAATAACATGTAGTGAGTGAGATAGATGATATTAAACAACATAACTTACTTATTAATCCTTGCTCTCACTCGCATACCCATCCTTATTATTGTATCACACTTTCAAATAGACAATTTAGTAGATATAAATTAATCTTTCTGTATAAGTTCAACTAAAAGACTTGAACGAAAAAATAAGATACATATTCATGTTATTAGATGTGATCTTCTGTTTCAAGAACTTTCTTTAATCTACTTTTGTAAGTAGCAGATATAGAATTATGATGACTGAAATTCGATAACGAAATACTGCTCTGGTGCATCAGTTTGTCGACCAGTTCCCATCTATACATCATTGCAAAATGTAACATAATTAGACATGATCATTTAACACCTACTGATAATACGTTATCAGTAACAGATTCTGATGCAATAATCATGTCCATATCCATGCCACAAATTCGAAGAAAAACCAGAAGTAGAATGTGTACGAACAGAGTGAATATTGCATGATAAAGTTGATTGTATCTCATTACTTATTACATTTATATCTCAAAGGTAAATCAGCAATTCTAATAAAAATAAAACATGTTCCGATGACGAAATGTAGGGCGCCGGATGTAAGTGAATAGAAAGTTGTACTGCATGTTTCTATTTTCATTTTCTTTGAAAATTTCTTAACACTTTAACCAGCGTCATCTGTTGATATATTAGATTAAGATATACTATTCGAAGAGTAAATACTGATAGTTAATAATACAAATTTCCAATAATTTTTTTTATAGAACAATGAAAATAAAAATGAATTCTTCAGTAAGTGATCATTCTGATAAAATAACACTTCAAATCATATTTTCAACAAGAAAATACGTACTAACTGATTATGATCATTCGATTTAAAATTAAAACAAAACTTCGAAAGAAATATTTCCATCAACCATTAAAAACGTTAAAAATCTACTATTTTGTTTGTCTAAAAAATAAATTCTTTTTACTTATTTTAGTATTTAATAATCATAACTGATACTCCATTCAAATATTCGTTATTCATCCTTGTAAACAAATGATTAGTAAGAATAAAGTTAATATTAATATATCATTAAAGCCAAAACTATCAATTAAATTCAATAATTCATTATCTGGAGTTGATATTCTTAATAAAAAAATAAAGGGAGAACTTTCAAATGATTCAGGAATTTTAATTGATCAACATCAAAGTTCATCATCGAAAAATCGAAGTTTTTCACCATCTTTTGATAAAATAATTATAAATTCTAATGATCAAAATTTAACAACTTCACAGAAACACAAACAACGAAAACGAAATCATCAAATTCGAAAACAACAAGAACGAAAACAACTTATTTATGAAAAAGAATTAATTCATAAAAACCAATCATCATTACGATTTTCTCAACAACAAAAACAACATCATTTATTATCGAAACAGAATG